ATTTCAAATTCAAATTACAAAATTTAAATTAATATTTTTAGGAAAAATTCAAAATAAATTTTGCTTGAAAAATTAATATTTAGAACCGATTCGACCCACCACCCGCACCTGCGCACAGTTCGGCTTGGCCGGATGGCGGCACGTGTGTGGTGGTTTGTGCTAAGATTCACTTTGCCTATAACTCTTCTTTTCTACAAACTTGGAGTGCCCCTTGGGGCCCAACCCAAGTGTTGTAGTCTATAACTTATATACACAAAAAATCTCTCTTAAAGTTTCAATGTGGGACAATTCATTAAAAGGAAACCCACATTTAAATCTTTAAATGTCCATTCCTCGAATCCGAAAATGACGTCAACTTCCCATTCATTCATAAATGGTTTTGATGAACCGTCTTCGCCGTGTGTCTTGTCACGCGGCAAGGAACACGTCACCTCTTCGGACCCACCCTAAAAGACATTCAGGGCCCACTCAATTTTTGGCTCAAAGTTGGTCCAAAATAAGCCTTATAAACCATTTTTTCAACAAAAATAAAATAAAGTAATAATAATAAATAATAACTTACGAAAAATCAGGATCGCTACAATTTCTAACTTCTTACATAATAATAAAATTATCTGAATTATTAATTGAAATAAAATTTTAATATCATTAAAAACTGTTAATTAACTTGATGATTTATTAATAAAATGAGCTATTTGTTATGAAATGAAAAATCTCAAGAGGCATGATGCAATTTACAAAATTACAGGTGATAATTCATATTTTAAACAAATTTCAAGAGGTACACATTTGACCCACAAATTCATCCAGAATTATGTGGTAATGGAATTGGGCCCTCAATCATTAGGTTATGACTAATTAAAAGTTAATACTTATCTTCACATATCATTATGGGTAGAAGTGTGGAAATTTTTTGAAGGTCTCAAATTTTCTTTGAAATTAATAAACCAAAAATAAAAATAAAAATCAATGAACTATGACAGCATCATTTCTATTTGGGGGAGTAACACAACTGTGGGTGCAGGAAAAATTAATTAAAAAAATAAAAAATAAAATTCATGATTTTAATTATTAATATTTATAATATTTTTTATTTTTATATAAATATTTCTTATTGACATCGTGTCAGTGTAATTCCTCTTTTCTATTTCTCCATTTGGTCAGTCATCCCATCATCATCGGAGAAGTTACTTGGTAGACTATTACTCTACACCACTCTAATCTCAGGGCACTTGTCTTATTATTTTCTCTTTAAAAGAGATAAAAAGTTATGAATCCCACTACTTTAATTAATAAAATTAAAATAAAAAACACAACATGTATTTGCTTCAAAAGCAAATTATACCTCGCCGGTTCTACCACCTTGTGAAATATATGCTTCTTATGACTAATTTGGAAAGAAAAATATTCTTCTTATCATTAATTTCCTAGGAAACTTAGCCAGACCCCTAGGTCCAACATGCTAGTGTGTAAAGGATACCCAAAAAATATCTTACTTTCTATACTCTCTAAGAAGGAGACATGTTCTTCATAAAAGACATACTATTATATTTTTTTTTTCTAGACAATCTTGCCCTTGATATATATCTCAAATATTTGAATCAAATTTGTTAGTGATTGACGCTAAAACTTCATTTAATGACCATTGTTCATTAACTATTGTATAGTGATCATTGTTCACCATTCAATCATTGTTCACTATTCTTTATTGTTCATTGTTTTTTAGTAATCTGTGTTCATTGTTCTTCGATCATAGTTCATTCTTCAATCATTGCAATCTTGAACTGATCAATAATCAGTGTTCAATGATCATTGTTCTTCATTTTATCACTGTTCGTGTTAGAATTAAAGCTTCATTTAATTATTGTTTGATTGTTGCTTCAGTTTGATCTTGTATGTTGAATTTTTGATTAATTATTTGATTATTGTTCGTTCGATCATTTTTTTTATTTATTTTTTATTTTTTATGTCATGTTCATATGACAGTAACATGTTACTCTAATTGTGTGATTTGTTTTGTAAACTCGTAGCGACAGTAAAACTTTACTGTCAACCAGAATAACATGTTACTGTTTATGTCAATTTCGACGGTAAATTTATTTATTTATTGATTTTTTTAAGAATTTTATAGCCAACATAGATCTTATTTGATAAATCTTGATGAAAGGATTCTAAAAATATTACTTTTATTAAAAATCGATATTTAAATCAAAAGTTATATCATTTTAAAGTTTAAAATATTAAATTACTCACGAAGTATATTTTGATAATAGTGATATATGCTGAACTTTTAAAGAAATTTTGTTTGTGATTGTTCGTAATGTATTAAAGTTTTATTATGAGAGAGTTTAGACCAAATCTCTAAATTTCTAAAATATTATTAGCAATTTTTTGCTAACTACTTTGAATTCTAGTAAGGGTCTTAAGCATATATTATTGACTAATATATAAATATAATGATTGTGGCGTTATTTCTAAATTAATCATAATGCTAATCATATCTGTTGTAATACCACATGTTACTTATGTGACTTTTATTTTTGTTTTTATTTTTTATTTTTTTTGCCAAACCAAATGACTACAGTTACTCGGTCAACTTGAACTTGAACTTTTGACCTTCTTAGGAGTTGTTTGGGATGATCTAAATAAGTACACTTTTTGTCTTTTTACGAAAAGATGTGCAGAAAAGTAGAGAGGTGATGTGATGAAAAAAAAATAAAAAGATAAAAAGATGAATTATATAGGCGATGCCAAACTTGGCCTTATTATCTCAAAAAATAATTACACGGATATCACTGGGCCAACTGTTGTGTCCCAATTATATGATTCAACTTCAATGATTTTTGGAACAAATCCAAGTGGAGTTTTAAACTATAAACTATTGGTTTAAATTATGAAACCAATTACTTTTGTGTTGAATTTTTAAGAGATAAATGTTAGGCGTCAACCTATAAATGGAATGAAACATTGCTCGAGAAGTGTTAAATTATTTCTCATTCCACTGTCCTTTCTCTTCCAAACGAGCCAAATAATTTATAGAGAATATTTGAGACTCCTAACAAAACACTCATAATAATATAAAATGATTGGTGTTAATTTTTAATTTGGTACATATTCAATTATATAGAGTTTTACTTTCTTACCACATCATTAAAAGTGTATTTAGGAGTTTCAAATATACGTCTCTAACATTACTAATAATTTCTTAATCTGATGTCCTTTCTCTACGAAACAAGTCCAGTAATGATACATAAATAAAATTGAGAAATTATTTTTAAATGGGTAGTGGAAAGATATTAGAGCGAGAATATAGTGCAATTTTGTTGTGTTTTTTTACACAAAAAAAAGTTACACTATCATAAATTTTTAATTATTTTTATATGTACACTAATTTGTAAATTTTCTAGTACAATTTATGTACAAATTTTTTGTGGGAAATTCTATGATACTTTTCTTTTTAAGTGGGTGCCTTATGCCTTAGTTATGACTTTTGTGGTATTTAATTATGATTTATTGTGCTATTAGTTATGACTAGTTATGATTCGTTGTGGTGCTAGTGATAACTCATTATGATGTTAGTTATAATATTATTTTGGTTATATAATTCAAAAGATTTATAGTTATACCTTATTTAGTGTTTGATTATGACTTTTTTTTAAATTTTTTTTGGGCAAATTACATATACCTCCTCGAGATTTAGTAAAATTACAGATACCCCCATGAGGTTTGAAAAATTACAGATACCCCCTAAAGGTACTATTTGCATAACAAATTAGGGGGATAAATTGTTATGAAAACATAAACCTCAGGGGATATCTGTAATTTTCGAAACCTCAGGGAGTATATGTAATTTAGCTAAATTTCGAGAGAGGTATATGTAATTTGCCTTTTTTTTTTTTTTATAGTTATAACTGAAAAAGATTTAGTATGATATTTGTAATCATCAATATCACAAATGTCATAACTTACATTACATTTGAGAGTATGTATTATATCATGACCCATTTTTTAAATATTTAATATGATATTTTGTGTCTCTTTATTTACAATAAAACAATTACTATTATTCTCATAATTTTAAAAGGATAAATTACACAATTCCCTGAGGTTGAAGAAAATGCAGTAAGTGTAACATTTTTGACATAATTATATTGACCTTATTCAAGATTTTAATTCACATAATACTTAAATTATGATTTATCAATGATTCGTTAGTCATATATATGAAAAAATAATATTATCATTTTTTTTTAACTAAAATGTATATAATCTTTGTTTATTTTAATGTTAACCCACCATTGATATGAGTCATAATTTTAGATTTTATTGGCCCGAAATGTACCTGAAATTGCACAGGATCTTGTTTTTCAACAATGATTCATCCCCCTTTTTTCCCCACCCCCTTTGACCCCCTCTCTCTCTCATTGGTCACTTTTTCTTTTTCTTTTTCTTTTTTTTCCTACTCCTCCAATCACTACCTGCCACGTGGCAAAGGGGTGAGGGGGTGACCCCCAAAAGGGGGTCCCAAGCATTATTCCTTGTTTTTGCATGATGATGTGGTTGTTGTTGTTGACATTTTTTTTTATTTTTTTTATTTTTGGTTCTTTGGGTTTGAAACAGATAGATTTGTGGTGGTGTTTGCGGTGATGGTCTGTTGTTCTCTCTCCTCTTTTTTTTTTTCTTCATTCATACAGATATAGTGAGAAAGATTATTATGGTTCTTGATGATCATGATAACAACAGATAAAAAAATAATATTTTAATTATGAAACTCAATGTTAATATGCATAAAATGTCTAAATTATCATTTTTTATTGAGTTTAATAACTTAAATATTTATTTTTCTATTGATTTTTCTTAATAAAAATAAATAAATGGTTTAGGTTAAAAATAAATTAACAAAATTAAAAAATTATTTTGTTATAATGTCAAACACTATTTTTATTTTATTTTTATTTTTTATTTAAAGATATAAAGAGAAATTCCATTCAGTACTGCAACTGGAACACCACCACTACCACTCTCACAGTCTCACTCTCTCTCGCTCGCAACAAGTTTTTCTCTCTCTCTAAAATGAAAACCAGCGCAAGGCTGATCGTCCTCCACCCTTCAGTACACAAGCATGGAGGAGCTTCTCATCGTATTTGGCTCCTCCTCTTCGTCTCCTTCTTCACTTTTGCCTTTATTTTCACTCTCTTCACCACCAGAGACTCCATTACCACCACCACAAGAACCACCACTAGCGCCGCCGCAGCCTCCTCCAACTCCAGACTACCAAAACCCGTCTTCGACGCCCTTCTCCACTACGCCGCCACCTCCAACTCCACCGCCACTGCCGACCGGTTATCCTCCGCTGAGCTCAAATCCATCGCCGCCGTCCTCCGCCGCTGCCCCACCACCCCCTCCTGCAACTTCCTCGTCTTCGGCCTAACCCACGAAACCCTCCTCTGGAACTCCCTCAACCACAAAGGCCGAACAGTCTTCATCGACGAAAGCTCATACCTAATCACAAAACTCGAAGAGAAACACCCACAAATCGAAGCCTACGATCTTCAATTCACAACCAAAGTGAGCGATCTCTACAACCTAATCGACTACGCCAGAGAACAGATTCGAAACAAGTGCAGACCCGTACAGAACCTCCTCTTCTCCGACTGTAAATTAGCCATTAACGACCTCCCAAACCATATCTACGAAGTCGATTGGGACGTGATTTTGGTGGACGGTCCTCGTGGGTACTTCGCGGCGGCGCCGGGGAGAATGGGGGCGATATTCACAGCCGGAGTGCTGGCGAGGAGCAAGAGAGGCGGTGGCGGAGCCAAAACCCATGTATTCGTGCACGAGATCGATAGGGAGGTAGAGAGAGTTTGCAGTAATGAGTTTTTGTGCAGAGACAACTTGGTTGAGTCCAAAGGTTCATTGGGACATTTTGTAGTGGAAAAGATGGATGAGAATAGCTTTGAGTTCTGCCCAAACTCATCATCGTCTCCATCATCGATATCATCATGGGCGGATGATTAAAGTTTAGAATAGGATTTGTGATCATATTTTCTGTTTTTTTTTTTTTAATTTTAAATTTTTTAATTTGTAGTGTGTGTGATTAAAATAGGATTTGGGTTTTGAAATTTTAGCCGTGATCGGTCCATAGAAAACAGGTGGGAAAGCAGATTAAAGTTAATTGTATCTGCTTTTATTAAAGTAAAGATAATTTGCTGTAATTTTCTCTCCAACTAAACAGTGGAAAAGAAGTGCGTGTCGGTGGCCAGCGGACGTTACGGAAAGCTAGAAGTGGGGGCTTCAATCGAGTCAAGAGTCTCTCCTTGCAAGCCCGTGCTTGCGTCCGTCCTTGCAGGCCTTCGGGTCTACTTTTAGGCTCAATTTTGATAATCCGAACCGTTCATATTTTATGATTTATTCAGTATATCATACCTGTAAAAAATCAAGTTGATCGGATATCAGAAAGTATGTGTTTGAAAAATTGAACTAAACATTATTTTTTAAAGAATTTAATAAACAGTTTTCCGAACACATGCTTTCTGATATCCTTATCCTTTAAACTCTAAAATTCCTCTTATTTTGTATGTTTTAATGAAATATTCATACATGTAACATATAATATAATAAATATATAAAAATCCAATATATATCGCACATGTCCCCCCCCCCCCAAAAAAAAAAAAAAAAATGACA